ATTATGTATCAACTATAATTAATAATAACAATAACAAAAATAATTACATACAAAAAACTGTGTTATAAATAATTTATGATGGAAATTAGTTAATAATAGTTAATATTCTAATAATTTTTTTAACGTTCCCATTTGTTATTACTTTTTTTTGTTAATTTGATAATAAAACCAAGATTTTTTTCGTTCGACCTAGTGGAAAATTTTCCGATTTTAATTTGAATTATAAAGTTTGGATGTTTTCTTGCGCCGGTTTCGAGGGTTGCGCCGACAGCAATAATGCTTGGAAAACTGCGGAAAACAAAAACCGCACCTAATTAGTTCCTTCCAACTGCTGAATAATCTGTTTCCCCGAACTGATAACAACTTTACTTAGTATGAGAACAAAAATGAAATGTACTTCCAATTATCGCGTAATAAAAAAATGTATATTTGTTGTTAAAAGTTTAAAAAATATTTTGATTAATTAAATTTATGTTTTTTTTATGTGAACATTTTACTTTGTTTGCTTTCCACTAAAAACTTGATTGATTTGAAAATAAATTGAATGTTAATCAATTTGTTATTGTTCTAAATTAATTGATTTATCTATAATAACATTTTTATTGAATAATGTCAAAAAAATATGTTTGAAAATGAATTTTCAAATATATTTCAATAAATTAAATTGGGTTTACTTAAATATTTACTTTATTTGCGTATCGATGAAAATATTGTTTAATTGGAAATAAATAAAGGAAAATTTGAGTATATTGTATTTATTTATCCGTAAATATTCCAATATAATGAAAATAAAATTTTCAGAGTCAAATTTAAAATGGGATTTTTGTTTTATTATTATAAGAATATGTATTATATTGGGATTGTTAAATAAAATAAGGAAATAACATAGTTATAAAACAGGGATGACAAAATGCGGCTCCAAAAGCCGTGTGCAGTTCCAAGAGCCATGTGCGGCTCTTAATAGAGTTAAATGCGGTTCATATGCAAAATTTTAAATTGCATGCAAGGCAACTCTGGTGCCGCAATTTGTGACCGGAAATGATTCGAATGGAACAATTCATTTTGTTGTAAAAAAATATAAGTATAATGTGACTAATATATGAAATTATATTAAAAATGTTCTATAATATACGAAAAATTGAGCTCATGCGTGTTATATAATTATAATAAATAAAATAAATTTAACTAATACATAAAGCTATAAACTGCAGGTCTTTCTGTCTTATTTATGTTCTTTCTTTATCTCATTATAGAAATATTATTGAGAATACATAATAATGTTGAACAATATGTAGAATTATGTAAACTGCAATATGTTTAATCATTGCAGTTGGATGTCATCAAGTGCGAGTTTGCAAAATCCAGTTCCCATACATATTGTATTATTGAAATAATCGATTCGAAGCGGATGCTGGGATCGTTAATAATCCAATGGCGAAATGTATGGGTCGTACAATCTAACTTAATTATTATGATAATGTTTGTCTGCTGATCGTGTTACATGGTGTTACACATATTCAACCACGAAACACACTGCCTATAAACGCTCAGCGTTGATATGTTTTTCTCATCGTAGCGAACGATGAATGTGCCACGATTTAACCTAATAGCTGTTTACGGCTCTAAGCATATTATCCTTCATCGCCAAACCCTAAGCGTATAAATTACATTACAAAGATACAGACCCTTTTTTCAATCCTATAATTATTTCAGATACAAATCTTATGTAACTTTAAATACAATTTGATTATTTATTTATAGTTTATAAATTACATCACAAAGTGTAACTTTTTGAGATCTGTAAGTGCTCAAAGACAAATCTTATGTGACTATCAAAAGATTCAATAAAAGTTTTGTAAAGTTTATATTATTGTTTATTACTATTGTTTATGAATTAAATCATAAAGATTGAGTCCTTTTTCAGCTGTATAATTATTTTGGATACATATTATCATTAAAGATTATCATTTAAAGTTATATAAGATTCGTGTATGGAACAATTATAGAAAGATCATAAAGATAGGTTTTTTTCAAGTTTTATAATTATTTCCGACATAAATCTTTAACTTAGATTTTGTATAAATTATAGAATGTTTATATGTTTGTTAATAAGCTTGCAAACTCCCACTTGACGACATCCATCTGCAATGATTAAACATTTTTTAGTTTACATAATTATACATATTGTTCAACATTATTTATTCATTCTTAATAATATTTGCCTTATGTGATAAAGAAAGAAAATACATAAATAAGACAATTGGGCAGAAAAACCTGTAGTTTAAAGCTTTATGTAATAGTTTTCCATATGAGCCGCATTTGCTCATACCTGTTTTATAAGGATGTTTATTTTTTTACTATATTTATTTAACTTTCATCCCTTTCTAGATTAACTCTGTTGCTAGCACTACTGTTTATTTGTAAGCATTGTTTTTTTTAAATTATCACAACCAAAAAAACATTACAATTTTGATTTATACTATTTTTGAGAAAATTGTAGGATTTTAAATTTATTTCTCACGTATTGTATTAGAATTATTTAACCAAGTTCAGATTAAAAAAAAATCAATTTGAAATGAAAAAAGTCAAATGAATGTATTATAAATTATTTATTATGTTATTGTAGTGTTTATACTTTTTATTAATTGTTTATAAAAGAATGTTATATAGTAGACAGAAAAAAATGTTTGTAATTAAAATAATATAAAAGATAATACAGTTATATCTGACTGCAAATTGGTATTGCTAAAGAAAGAGTGATCTAGATGCTCGGTGAAGCGTTCAATGATTGTAGCCACCAACCAAGTCCGGTAAACACGACGGGCGAGGTATAATCTGGCACACAAAAAGTTGACGTACAATGTGATAAATGGATGCAACGGAGCAAAGTCCCTTTCGTGTAATCCCATTGTATTGCTTACCAATACATTTTATATTCCATAAAAAAATAATGATAATACCTTAGTTATGTAAAATGTGCTTCAATGATTTAATAGAAAAAATAGTGCTTATACTTTTATATATTATTTATATCAAAAATATATAAAGATGTTTCAACTATAATTGGTTCAAATTGAGTTTGATTCTAATTACAATGAATTGGTATCTGTAATTAAACACTGTAATGTATATTGTAGTTGGTACACCTGATACACATTTATATATCAGGTTACAGTGCAGATGCAGGCAGCATTATGTTAAGTACTCCCTTTGTCCCATAACATTACAAATAATTTAATCTTGTTATTTCAACGACATAGTAAAAGTTGATTTAATATAAAATCTTTATTTTTTGACGAAAATAAATAATAGAATTTAGACCATGCTGACATATGATTATAAATATAATGTGTTTGTAAATATACTTGTGACTGGAATAGTCTCCAAAATAATCTATATTTAAGTAGATTTCCTAATAAAAAAAAACTTCATTTAGTTAAATGCAAACACAAACAAATATGTTGTTGTGTCGAAGTACCAAGTGTCTTAGTCGGAAGGTAACAGGAGAATATATAGTTGATTCCACAATAAAACCAAAAACTGTATAATAAAACTTCACAACTACATAACTACAACACAACACAAAAGTATAACTAGTACTAAGGACCACAGATTATAGGTCTTTTCGCGCTGGAAAAACTATTTATAAACTTTTTTTAACACATGAGAGATATGTAAAGCAGTATTGTATTGAAAAATTGGTCATATTATTTTCAAGGCACTGAAGTATGTAATATTATATAGTTTACTAGAAACTACTTTCGAAGTACTCAAAAATTGTTATTTGGTTTTGAATCCTCGAACTGCATTTCAAAATTCGAATAAAAATTCAAGAGTCAAACAGAAAATTACATGCATAATTAGAACTGTGATCTGTATTATCAATATATAATTTAAAATTATATTTTAAGAAAAAATATTAAATAAATAAATTTCTCTCTCAAGAAATATATCACATATTATGTTTACAATTATTATTCATTATTATATAGTAATTTTTCTGTATATATTAATGTAAATATAAATATTCCATTACTGTTATTAGATTAATTTAATTTACATAATATTTGATAAGAAAATTTAATTCTAAAGTGGAACAACTTGAAAGATGAACCGTCTCATCGAAATGTGTATTCATTCTAGATTATTTTTTAGAACAAAGTTGGAATATACTGATAAAATAAATAAAATATCAAATATTTTTGAAATAATGTTATTGAAAAATGAATATTTTAAATCAAGGGCTTTGTTCTAATCCTGAATTGAAATGTTAACAGATGGAATCCAGTTCAAAGTATTGATGTTTTTCACAAAAGGAGCATAGAATTTACATGATTCGAGGCGATAGTGCTTAATGATAATATTAATAAAATATCAAATATTTTTGAAATAATATTATTGAAAAATAAATATTGTAAATCAAGGATTTTGTTCTAATCCTGAATTGAAATGTTGACAAATGGATTCAGTCCTAAATATTGATGTTTTTCTAATAAGAGAGCATAAAATTTGCATAATTCGAGGTGAGAAGGCTTAATGAAAATATAAATAAAATATCAAATATTTTTATAGTGATGTAATTTTTAAAATAACATTATAAATTATGTTTTTTTCTAATCCTGAATTGAAATGTTTACAGATGGATCCAGTCCAAAGTATTGATGTTTTTTTATAAAAGGAGCATAGAATTTGCATGATTCGAGACGACAGGGCTTAATGAAAGTATAATTGAGTAGGTAATTAAGCCGGTGTATCTCAATTTGCATTTTTTTCGGGTACTGCAAAATCCGATGGCAATTACAAAGCGATAAATGCGCTTGTATATAATTTCCTCGAGAGGCAGGGAAGGTAATAATAAAGCAGCGGCGACGGTAAGTAAGTAAGGATGATGTGAATAAAAGGTAGAGCGAGCGAGAGAAGCGGAAGAAGAAGAATAAGAAGGCGGTGGCGGAGGAGGCTCTTTCATTTGCACAAATGTTTATTCATGTACATTATCGTACCTTTCTTTTTGGGTGGCATTGTTGGAAAATGGGTAGTCGTTCGTACGGTCGTGGGGGCCGGGATTTCTGAAATTGCATCACCATAATGTAACGACCGAGAGAAAGAGAAAGAGTTTTCATCGGACCAGAACCTGAAGAGCAGGATGATACCTAAGGAGGAAAGAAGGAAGAGATGGAGACTCACCTTCCAGTTTGATGACTCCGTCCGTTTCGCCTAGAGAGTTTTTCGCCACGCACTTGTACGATCCGAAATCGCCTGGGCCGACGTTCCTAATCTTTAACATCATGTACTTTTTGTAGCCGCTGTCCATCGAGACCGCCTCGTACTTGTCGCCTGTAACAAAAGGAGAAAGTCGTGGTGGATCGAAATTAATTTTCGGCGCCGGATTAATTGGGGGTGGCCTTGCCCAAAGTGGACTTGCATGTTGCCAAAGTGATTGATCAATAGTTGCAGCCCCTTCGGTCATGAACCACCCGATATAAATCAAACCGAATCGTTAATCATTGAACTTCGGCCCGATTGTTTACAATTAGCTTTCGGCACGGCAAAAAAATACCTAGGCTCTGCTGCTAATACTGCTGCAGCAATACGCTGGCTTTCAAATTGAAACCTCACCACCCCCACGTTATACTAATGACCCCTGCATCTAAATAGAAGGGTCCATGTTACAATGCACTTCGGAGACTCAATGTACGCCCGATAGTTTGCAATTCAACAGTCAAATAGAAAATCCAATTAACATTACTTTACATCTTCCCTACAATAACGAACAATGTACATTGCTATACACAGTTAACTAATTAAAATTGCAAATCAGTTAAGTGATTTCAAACATGAGAATGTTAATTACACATAAATATTTTCGAATATTGACACACTGACCAACTGTCAAAACCTAATTTTTCCATAGTCAATTAATTTCATTTTAAAACACCAGATAGCGCATATCATATACTTGACATTTGACAGCGTCCAAAAGTTTAGTATCCCAAATCAATTAATATTGATAATACATTACTTAAACGATTTACTACAGAAACAAGACTTCACACCAAAACCTACTAAGAACTATACACCATTAATAATATATTCTGAACTCTTTATACAAATATATTTATCTTATGTCTGGAACTAAACTTTACTAATATTAGTATTACTTGTATTATTCCAATTCACTGATTATCATAAATATTAACATTTACTAACAATAAGATAATTACAGTAGATATACTACGCAATAATTTATATGATTACTTTCTATACATTTATTTTTACACAATTTGAATGTTTAATAATTAAAAATGACTTAACTGTTTTTTCTTCTCGGCTCTGCTATTGTATTATCAAAGCCTGCAAAGAGAGTAAAAACAGCTAATTTAGAGGCATTCAAAAATTAATAATTACAATTATTGTGTTTGAATGCAGTGTGAATGGTCAGATTTTTATATATTTTCTTGCTTTATTGTTAATATTATTATTATCCATATTTATCTAAAATATTACTATAATTACTTCACCTTTTGAAGTTAATGTATCTCTGCAATTCTTGCAATATGGATCGGAAAACGAGAGCTGTATTTGCCCACCACTGACACATTGCATACAATCGAAGGCAAATAATTTATCAAATGTCTGTTAATAAATTGTGTCAAACAAATAGAAAGATTTGTATCAATATTATATAACTAAGTAAGAACACGTTGAGAATACATGAATGACGTCTTATGTAAATTATAGACCTATATCAAGGTAAATTCAATCAAATAACTTTGTAATTCGGAAGGAAACTATGTCCGGAATTTGAAGCTTCTACATCAAAGCAACGCCTTGCTATTCTACAAACGATATTTTATTAACTATAAAATATAATTAGCATAATATATAGTATATTAAATACACAATAACTTCTCATTAAAAAAAATCATATTAAGAAGTTTCTATAAAATTTATTAAATATATGTAATAAAGTCATAATCAAAGAATTATACCTCACATAACGAGCATTTCGCTTAACGAGCAAAATAAATTGTATGAAAAATGACTCGCAAAATGGAACGCATTAACATTAGTTTATATGAGTAAAATTCTTTCACTATACGATTAAAAATCCGAAAATTTTGGAACTAATTATACTAGTTAAGCGAGGTACCACTGTATAAAGAAAATATTAATTATTGTTTTAGTAACTTATTCTATTAATTTATTGCTAGATACGGGAATTACTTTAAATTATAAATATTATTCAAGAACAGGACTCGGCGAATCGGGACATATCACATTCATACGTCTTAATAATGAGGTAATGTCATTTTAAATGAATATATATTGGGGTAATAAGTGAAACAAAAGTTTCTTGGCTTTGGCGCTAGGGTAATAATTTAAATATTTATCGAACTTGGACATTAAACTAAAATAAAAAATGAGAAGAAAACTTATAATTACATAAAACTAAATTTTTAATCTGTCTATTAATGCAAGAATCAATAATTGAAATTAATCTATTCTAACAAGAATTTATTCAGAAGTCATAATCCTTTATTTATTTTTTTTATATATATATATTCTTGTCGATATTATACAATTAATTTATTTACACAGTAATAATTATGATATGAAATAGTATTTGCTAACCAATTTATGTTTTTTATGATAACAACATATATTATTTTAAATACTGTAGATCAGGGCTTACTAAACTTTTCACGCGACAGAACACTTCATAAATCCTGAAATTTTCACGGAAAAAAACATGAATTACTTATTTAGTCATTATTTCATTCCAAAATATAGTTTGGGAAACCCTGCAGTATATAATAAATGTCTGGTACCTGAGTAGTTATTGGAAAAGTTAAGTAAAGTTATTTTTTAGTTAATAGCCTGAGAAATAATTTATTATTTAAGTAATATAACATATGATATACAAATTTAGAAATGATTTATACTATGTTTTTTGATGAGACTTCAATGTTAATATTACCTACTACTTAGTTTTTGACTAAATTTAACTTTTCTATGAAAATAATTTTACAAAGACTCTTATATTTGTTTATAGTATATCATTTCACGACCATTAATAATTTAATTTGACCCATATTTGAGAGCAACATTGGTTGTGAAAGGTGGCAACAATGTACACCATGAAGTTGGTGACGAACGCTTACCTCGGGGAGTTAAACATGGAGAAGAAGAGTAGTTTATGTGGCATTGTTAGTATAATAGCGAAGTATATTATTAGAAGTGTAAGCGATGTGTAAGATGTAGATAATAACTTGGTCCTTCGTCTAAAACACCAATATTTGGTTTTATAAGTTGAGAAACACTACTGTAATGGACGCAACAGAAAATTATAAGTTTTTATAAATAGAAACAAATCTATTTAAAATAGAAAAAATAGAAAGATTTCAAAATTTGGATGTAAATACCTATAGTCGGGCTACTGACCATATGTCATTAAGTAATTTATTTATTGTTTAGTCACAATTGGAATTGTCGATGGCTTCATTTTTTTACTATTTGTGATTGCTACAGTAAACGTTGTTATTATAATTAATAAAATATTTGTTAAGTGTACTTCAATGCAAAATTAGTGTTTATCCTAATTGTGTATTTGTTTAATTATTTGTCAAACTCGGCTTTTGAATAGTAACAATTCGTGTCAGCATGATACAAATATTTTTTTGTCTTACGATTACAGCATTAATTTTCTATTGGATTTTTTATTTTATCTGAGTTTGGAACTACCTACTTTTATTATATTATACATTCCATAAATATATATTTACGTCCTAGGAAACGAATTATACTTTGTAAAAATCTTACAATCACATTCATAACTGTCAGTAAGATAATACTTGCTTTTTGTAACATGTAAGGAAGTAATCAGATTAACGATTTATTAAGATTATAGTTTGTAGTTCCTATCAATATAGGTCATCAATGAATCAATAGCCTGTGGCAAGTCGGTGATACTTGTTTCTGTAGTTCTGTACGTGTGTTTCGTGAACTCATACAACTACCTGAGATAATCATGTCTCCCCTCTCGGTGGTCCAGTAGTTAATCGAGGTTGGAAAGGCCTCCGTGTGACATTCCAGAGCGACGTCCTGTCCGATGTAAGCCCCCTCTAATTGATTCGGAATGGTCAACATCGGCGGAACTGGAGGAGAGGACGGCATCAGGAATGAAAAAAGTGTGTGTGTGCGCGCAAAAGTGAGAAAAGAAAAAAAAAAGAAGCGAAATGGAAATTTAAAAGTCGATCAATTATTCATCGGCTTTTCGTATCCCACAATGCTATGAATTACTCACACTGCACTCGCAGCTGGACACGCTTGCTAATTGAAGGCGGCACGCCATTCGAGGCAATGCACAGATAATTCGCCATGTGCAATCTGCTCACCTTCGTGATGAACAATACCTCTCCGTCGACCACATTCACTGAAACCGACCAAAAACAAAACGAAAAATTAGCTCGTGGCTGCACGAAAAATACCGTTCCGCCGTTGTTTTGAGGGAACTATGGTTTTTGGAGAACAAAAAGGAAAACTGCAGATTGCATAGCATTGTTATTATTACCATTTTCACCGTTGTATCTATAATTTTCACCATCTTCCCGACGCCACATAACGTACGGCTCCGGATAACCCGTCGCTTTGCAGGTCAAACTAACGTTCGTGGATTCCAGAACAACCATATCGGAGCTCGTTTCGCGGTCGACAATGCTCGGAGGTACTAAATTCAGAGAAGAAACAAAAAATACTCAATTAGTAACATCAACATCAAAATAATGTATCAACATTTCCTCTTATGCATTTACAGGACTAATTTGCAAAAAAATACCAAATGAAAATAATGAGAATAATATTTCTCAGTACAAGAATAACTCGCATAGCGCGGGTAATCTGTTCCTCCAATATCCCGGAATATTTGAAAACGTACAATCGATGAACTAAATACATACAAAAAAATAAACCGCACAAAAAGAGACTTGTCTGTATTAAAAGTAAAAAACGATCATTTATATCTAAAAAAAATATTTTTGTATTCATTTTTTAGAATGTATTTTGATGAACATTTAGTTTGTTTCGAAATTTATAAATCGCACTATAGAAAGTCCGTAATAATCGAAGCTGCATAATCAGAGGTATTAATGTATATCAAATCATATTATACACATTTACTTATAGATGCAACTAATTCTTGAAAAAAGCAGTTGTAAACAAAGCGCAAATAGTAGAAACTATATTTAAAAATTGTATAAGAAATTAAATTATTTTTTTGGAAATTGCGGCTTTTAAAAAATGTTGATCCTTGGATTAAAAACTTGTTAGACAAAATATTATTTAAAAACAATTCTTATATAATTGAAGTTCTGTGGAATTCAAATCAAATTGTTTGTTAACAGTATAGAAAAGAAAGTAAGTGATTATATAATAAAAAATAATTATGTGAATAATAACGATATTATCAAAAAAAATATAAATATTGCACACACATTATTTTTTTTATGATTTTGTAAAAAAAAATATTTATAAATTGTTTGGTGTTTTTGTCATAACATGTATTTATTATGTCGAACTATTTTGTACACTATAATTTATATAGATAAAACATGTTCGTTTATTGAATCGCATTACATGCACGCAGCATAAAAATAGATTCGAAAGAATAATTCGCCGTGAATGGATGTGATTGATATATGCACGAAAATAGCGGAAATTGAATAAAGAAGCACAAAGGCCTCAGCGCACGATGGAAGCAGAATGATTAAATTTTGAAAATTTATTAAAAAGGATTTTCTCCGAGAATTCGCGGATATTACAAACCATATGTGCTGGGATGCAGTCATATTCAGAACCAGCATTCAGATGCAATCGATTGGAGCCTAAATTACTAAGGCCTTTTGTTGTTTCCTGCATCTGAGAACTCTATCACTGATAAAATTTGATTACTCGATGTTGGTTGGATGGGGACTACTAATTCTCCATTATTAAGACTCAAATGAAATATTGATTGAACATTTTTTTTTCTCGCCCCATGCGCGTGGGGGAGTTTTTCTTTAATAAAAAAATTGAGATGAGAAAAATTGATAATAATGATAATAATTAAAATTCCACAGAAGCAATAAGGGAGACGTTATTAAGCAGCTGAAAGGTCTCCCAAGATTATATATATTTTCTTCTTTCTCTTGTTCATTTTTTTCAAAGGAATCTTTCGCAAATTACAATGGATTTCCTCTGTGAATTATTTATATTTAATTAAAAATGTTCAAACACCTTTTATAGAAATATCAGTATAATTTAAGTACAATAAAACCTGACATAGTCAGAAAAACCGATTACAATACAAGTATTTTCTGAAACCAGAATAATATTTTATAAACCATGGACGTTAGGAGGATATATCCGCCTAAATGTTTATAAATAAAATTATTTTTGATGCATATAGTGGCCATTCATCGAATTTTAATTCTTAACAACACTAGTATTTTTCAGACGGTGATTTACTTATTAAATTTAATTAAAATCCATATGATCTGTATTAAACAAATATATAATAATGTCTATTATTATTTATCCAATTGTGAATGTAAGTTGAAAGGAACTTTGCATGAAAGCATAGAAATAATTGTTTTTCTTTTGTATTATGTAAAAACTCCAGTTTACATATAAATTTCACCTGTAAGTTTCTTTTGTAAAGAAATAAAAATATATTTAAAACATTCTTCAACTCAGGTCGCGCAGCGAACAACAGTCAAGTGTCATAATGAAACGTTGGCGGTACATAATGAATACAAAATTCCGCAGCGCGCAGTGCTCTTAATTAGTTGTAATCTATGTCATAACAATTACAAAACATAGAAGCCCAGACGGAGGCGGCGAAGCACGGGCTTCCAGTCTGAACTTAATAAGTAATTGCTGTGGTTTTATCATACTACAAACATATTCATATTTTTTGTTTCATCTTCAAGTCTCTGTAACCCACATCTATCAATTCCAATACTTTATCCACATGTGTCGTCTGCAAAGTTGTAATTTATGTAAAATATTTGCGACTTGCAAATCATTTGAGAAATAATGTTCTGACTATTTAGGGAATTCGAGGCAATATGTTTAGACATTCATTAGCCGCCAACTCTTCGCCCGAACTCCGCGAAGTTGCGCAAATTTTTTCTACTAGTATTTGGTAAGTAGTTTAAATTGGAAGCAAGTAAAAGGAAAATTGTTTAGTGGAGACGATAAACATTGATAATATAGTTTTATAGAAATTAGTTCGTAATGGCTTGTAGCAAACGAATGTTTGAAAGCAATTTAGGAATCTGCTGGAATCGGTCAATTAAAATTATTTTCCGATGGATTAATTAAAATATTTAATTGTGTTTCCATTATTTCGGGGGAGCGCAGTCTGTTTAGATTGCAATCTACTAAAATTGTTCTGATGCAATTACACCAAATTCAACTTTCTAGTCGAGAGCGCAGCCTCGTCGTGTCTATGCACTTCAATTACACACGGACTAAACTATCATCACGTCGCATTGTGTGATAACACCGATAGTTCACACAACTTCACCAACAAATCCGCACTTACGACCCAATGTTTCGACATTCTTCGCAAACACCAAATGTTCAATCACAAAATAATTACATATCACAATTAAACACTAACTTTTTTTCTTGTATAATATGTAATTATTTACTAGTAATTCCAATTTGATAAAATTACATAAATAATTAACACTAAAAATAACCTTTCAATTATTTATAATCATATATAAACTTTCTTTTTTATATTGTATATTATATAAAATGAGAAGACTTAAAAAAATCCTATAATATTATGACGTAGTTAAAAAAAATATATTGATTTCATGATTATTACTAGCAGAACTTATGTTGCTAAAATTATTTAGCTAAAGCAACTTATTCGTAAGTAGAATATATATGCTAGTTATTGCTTTAGTGGAATTTTTGACTTTACAGTATTCTTCAAAAGGGTACTAAACAGACACAAATCATTTGATCCGAACCAATTTAAGAATATGTACACAAATATTAATTGTTTTTAATAATTCTGATATATTTAGAAATCGACAATTTTTCTTAGCGAAAATCGGCACCAACTTTCCGGACAACCCAATATTATATTTTTAACTATATATTGTCATATGAATTAACGAAAATAATACGTTTTACAGAAAATACTTCGTGAAGAGAAATAAAAAAATCTAAATAGACTAACTTCAAATGTATGAAAAATACATGATAATCCATTTTACTAATCCCTTTTATATATTTCATTATTTTCTTTTAATTAAAAAATTACGTATGAGATTATAATTTTAATTTCATTTTGAAAGTAACAGAAAATAATTTAATACTCCTGTATATACATTTTTATACACGAGGTTTATTCATTTCTCTATATTTTTATTACATAATTACAATGTTCTATTATTTATAAGTAAGCATCATGGACTTTGGTCGATAGCCAAAAATTTGATTAATCATAAAAAATTGTCTAAATATATTTAAATTAACTTTTAATTTAGGTTTATATTTATTTAGTAATAGATCACGATTGTCCATTTAATGATGTTAATTAATTTTATAACCTACATTAAAAATAGTTACATCATAATTACACAATTGTTTATATAGAAATAATTATCAAACGTTATTTTTCTCCACCGCATTACCTTTTGGTAATTGTAAGTTTCTCCATGCATAAATGTAATTTATTAAATAACATTAATTGTATGCACAAATAAAATACATACGTATTCAAAGGTACTATTGACCATCGCCATTCCGACTGGATAATTAATTATATATTCTATAATTAATTTATTTCAATTAGAAGCATCATTTTTCCATTATTTTATTTAAACTTTCAACTCAACTTCAAAGAACTTCTACATGATATTCAGGTCATTAATATTATACTATTAATTCTCATATGTAACAGATACTGTCTAGCATTATTCACTGTTCGCTCTGCATTGTATTATCCATTTATTGTAATATAGCCCACGGACTTCCATGTCTGTTCATACTTTGGACAGTACAAACTAAGAAGATCTTTGTATTCCATGGTTATGTTGATACTGTTAACTAAGATAACATTTCTCAAAGAATTTCTTACGTCAATTTCAGGTATCAATTATCTTCTCGATTTTGTATTTATATTAAGATTTTCTCAATTTGTCTTTAGAATTATATAACATTTTCTAACTACTTGCAGAATTTCTACATTTATTAATACCAATAATAAATAGTTCCCCTCATAAAAATCTATAATCATCAGGTTTTTTAGATTTAAAATAATTTGAATACCAAAATTATTATTTTCTTAACGTATGAACATTTAGTATGCTAGTAATATCTAAAGATTTGTTATAAAACAGCGTTTGCAAGTGTGTTCATTAATTGAAACATATTTAAACTATGCTTCAACTTAATATTATTATTTGTCAACATACAAATAGTAAATAAAAAATCAAAATAACATTGATTCAAGTAAATATTAAACATGTAATTTATTAAACCATACACAATTTTATTAATAAACTTTGTCTTCTTTATTTGAGCAGTTTAACTATTTAAAATTGATTGTCATAATATCTAGAATTACTATAAATTTCTATACAACACTTAACTTAAACTCAAATTGCATTGTATATAGAACAAAGATCGGCAACCTTTTTGAAGCAAAGAGCAATTTTAAGATATTACCTTAAAAATAGTTTAGTTCAGTGATTCTGAAAGTGGGGGTTGCAAAAAATATTTGGAGGGACGCAGAAAAAAATTTAACAGGCGGGACGGGATTAATTTTTCTTTTATGAGAATAAAACGGACTAAATGTTTGAGAAATAGTGGTCTAGTGAGCCACACTAAGATCTTCATTTTCCTTGTAAACTGAACTTTCCAATATACTTACTATAATCACAAGGGTGTCATGTAGAAACCAAAATTTCTCAACAAAAGATCAGCGGGTTTCCTACCTCTGTTGTACTGTGGCATATTGCTTTTTTGAACTTAATACAAATGTTAACTATAGACGTATTATTTCTACTTATCTCAATTGGATTAGATCTATAATGTGTTTAGATTTTTTTCATGGATACTTTCTCACGTGAATTTAAATGTTATGCTGAAATATAGCATAGGAATTGGTTTAGTTATAAAATTACATCTTGAAATTATAAATTATTCACTTATTAAAATGCTTATTAATAATTGGGCGGATATTCTTCATTTTCCTTCCATATTTTATTTGAATATAGACAATCGAACAAATTAATCTTGAAATATTTTTCTATCAACTTGTTTTCAAAAAAAGACCAAGTGTTGTGGGTAATATAACTTTTAATCAGGACTTAACGAAAGTTAAAAATTTCTAATTCAAGCTCAAAATATTGATTAACTTTTGATCATGTTAAATATCAATTATGCATGATATAAGAACTTGTCTTGATTAAAGGCTTACGGGTGTATTATTAAATTGTCTTAATATTCCATATTATTTTATATTAAAGAAAAAAAAGTTTTATTTACTTTTGTTTTTATTGTATCCACTTATATAATATGCTGACGATAATGCAGACTGTTAACATTTATGCTGTGCACTCTTTCTCTGCTTATATAATATCAGTGTGTATTTTATATGTCGTTACATAAATTTAATACGTTGGACCTTTTTGTGCTAGAAAGGGAAGAGAAGAGAGAGAAAAAATTGCGCGCTGGAGGTTTGAGAGTTCATTTAAATAACGTCTTTCGAGGGCGGCCTCGACCCGCTCCGCCGCTTCTCTTACACCCCCTCCGTGCACCCGCGGCACATCAATAATTTATTACTCCGCAAATGGGGAAAATATTAGAGATTTCATTATGGCCAGTTAATGTGCAATTTGATGCCGGGAAGTTTAGTTATTACGACCGTCGCCGTGTACAGACGCATACCGAAATTATGATACACTTTTAATATTCTGCAATACTCCAACAGCAATGAAAAGAGAGAGAGAGAGAAGGTAAAGTGAATGTGAGAGAGCAAGGAAGAGGAATAGAGTTGCATATTACTTTCGACGTGGAATGGCATCATGGCCATTTCAGGCCGTTGCAGGTCCATAAATAACGTGGCACGCTTCTGAATAGCCCCTTTCCAGTTAATAGAAAAGGGATGCAAATGAACTCTAATTATGCTAATAACATCATTAAGTGTAATTTTGAGGCTCTCATTGTACGGCGATTAACATTTATTGCTTTCGTTTTACTTTGCTTATATTTTTTTTTGCCATTGTTGACGTCGATTTGCTTCACGTTTCGCTTTGCACAGATTCCAATTAATTTGCAAACTAAAGACGGCTTTATTTCCATCATATAATGCGAATATTTTCCGAGACGTCTCAATGATAGAAAATAAACGCTCCTCTCAATAGGACAAATTGTATCACTTTGCAACTCTCCAAACATATTACTCCTTTGTTTAATTGACGTAATTACAGAAGACGTGATGGAAAGCAATCAATTATTTCTCAGCTCTAAATGCTCACTTGATTTAATAAACACAAACCTATTCAAACACTTTAATCAAATTATTTTGAAAATTATAATTTTTTAAAAAGTTATTATATTTTATGCAAAAGAATTATACAATTGAAACATAATAAGTAAGTAAACGGTAAAGAAAATCTAGTTATATCAAAATAAGAAATTGTCACATCAACAAAAAATAGAATAGAAATAAATATTATTGTCCAGGGGTGGACAAATGCGGCTCTCAGAACCGCATGCGGCTCCCAGATCTTATACTGATGGCTATGTTGACAAATTAATTTTACTGTTAAAAATAGAGATTATTGGTACATGCGGCTCCTTAGACTTTTTTTAACAGACAAGTACATCTTTGTTTCCAAAAGGATTTCCTATTATATAGGGTGTCCCAGTAAGGCCAGAAAATATAAATATTAAATTAAAAAGTGTTTTTCGGATAATACCGAAATTTTGACTTAATAATAAAGTAGACATGTGGAAGTTATGTGAACGGTAAATTTAATTAATTAAATACATGAACATCTTTATAATTATCTGAAATTTATAAGTGTTGAATAATGGACAAAATATCGGTTTACCTTCTATATATAAAAAGAAACTACTTTTTATTTTGATCATAAAGAAATAGTAACCAAATATGTATATTGTTTGTATAAAACATAATTTGTATTAATAAACATCCTTTAAAGTAACTGTATTAGAGAAAAACTGTTTAATTATGTTTATGTTAACTAATATTTATCTATAAAATTTATGTAGAAACTATTTTGAATATAATTTTTCTTAAAAATAAATTGTTGAAAATGAATGTATTTAATAGCTTCTTGCTTTTAGCAGTATTTTAAAAATTAAATAAACATCATTTTTCCTAGGATTAATAGGTCTTTATTCTATATAGTATAGGATTTTGTATGTTTTATAGCATCTAATTTTATCAAATAATGTCAAAAGTATAAATAAGAAGAATAATTCACAACAATGATACATTTTAGATACAATTTTTTAGTAAATATTATAAATTATATTAATATTGTTAAATCTCCTAAAACATAATTTAGAATAAAGAAAATGAAGAAAGGTTGTGTCATTCTATTAAACTTTTAAAATAGAATATCCTCAAATATGTCAAGTTATGGCTAATTGAGAATGCAAATGGCATAATACAATTTCATTATATAAAATGGGTTAAAGTAGAACAAAACGTGACGTTTTAAATATACTTATTTGTAGAAAACACATTCATCCCTGAAACAATCTAAAATTAAATATCCTGTGTGCAGATTAGTTTCGAGTTGTATTATGGTCAATTAAACATAAAATATGTTTACGTCCGCCCCGATTAGCATCTAACGTGCAGGAGTTATTTTCCAAAGACACGCATTAGTGAAATGAAGTCGTGCTATTTGGGCAGATAAAGTGTTTCATTCATTCCATATACACTTTCGGATCCAGTTTTTATCCGCGCCTAATAAAAGTGTTTCGGGCTGTAAAGCGAGGAGGAAATGTTGATGGTATTAAGCGTTTTGCCTGTAATAAGCAGAGAGAGAGAGAGAGAAAAAGAGACGGTGTATTTTTTGAATAAAATTTTATAGCCGAAAATGAGAAATGCAAAATTCATTACGGCCATACACGTACCTACGACCTGGAGATAGCCTTGCCTGCTGCGCATCGGATCCGTGTTCACTTGGCACATGTACCAACCCCTGTCCGCTTCCTGTACGTTCTTGATATGCAGGTACCAGGACCGATGGTCGTTATAGCTCAAGGATATGCGAGGGTTCTGCGTGATGACATTATGGTGGATGGAGAGGATCGTCTGCGTATCCACACGTACCCAGGCCACCTACAATAAAAAAAAAGAATAACGTACAAAATATATATATATATATACTGTAGATAACGACTTGTATACACTATGCATGTATATATTCCATAATATACTTATAGACCATAAAGACTGTTACATCAAAAGTGACTATAACCATAACTATCCATCATATTTACTTTTATAATTTAATGAAAATTTTAAGATCGACATATTTAAAAACACTGTTCATAAATAGTCTATAAAATGTATATATCAAACATGTATTCTTTTATTACTTTTACTTAATTTTTCTATTGATGTTATAATAAAATTTAGACATTTATTATATTACAAAACCTACAAAAACTTATATTCTTTTCATATAACATATATTTTATCCTATATAAAAAAATCTATTGAAATATCAAACAAACCACTCTGGTATGTATTCCAATAAGTAAGTACACGAAACTTTACATATAGCAATACCCCGCATAGTACGATTTCGATGAGTCCGGATTCACTATACTCTTATATAATCTTTCTAATAAATAATTCAAGATAAAATAAATAATTTAATTAAATTTCGATAAAATTCTTATAATAATTAGTACGGATTAATTAAGTATAGTTTGTAGGAAATTGGTTATTGTTAAATTAAATTATATTTGTTTGAGCTCTTTGTAAAGGAAGATTCATAAGCCGATTGGATATAGAGACTTCTGATCCGATACAATCTCATTGCAATTTAGAGGAGATTTATAAATCCGACCGGAGCATAAGTAGCGGTAGATGTCGGGGATAAGAGTGTTGTTCCGCATTGATTCGCGAAGAAGCAAACGGTGTACCAGGTGCATCGATTGGCGTTTCCGTGCGACCCGGCATTGATAATTGGGTTCAATACCTCAATGGAAATATACACCATCCACCCATCTTCACCAACGAGTAGACACGTGCATCAACTTATATAATGTAATCTCGAAGAGGTGGTGGAGGAGGAGGACGGGTCGCGTTAGTTGCGAACGTAGATCTGTCGAATCCAATTGGAATGCGAATGTAGTGTAGTGTGCAGAGTGTAGTGTGGAACTAACTGATGATGTAAAAGGTATACAGGATGGGTAAAATGAAAACATGCCCCCTCCGGTATCCGGGAATCGGGAAAACTGTGCACGTTCCAGGTCTGTCGAGACCTAACGCGTCCAGGAAGAAGACGAGGAAGCAACCAGCCAACCTCTGTATATGCTATATGTGAATGTGTGTGTATGTGGATAGAAGGAAGGGTGTATTCGGCTCACGAACAATTCCTCACTCCTCCACGCCCGTTGGAGGAATCGCACTTCTATTTTCAAGTTTGTTTTCTTCCACCTCCATCTTGTTCTTCAACCACCACCTTCCACTTCTTGTCCCTGGCGTCGATTTTTATTGTTTATACATGGGCCGCCCGTACGCTAATGTTATTATTTTCGGGGCTCTTCGTGGAATCGATGCCATCCGGGCTTTTCTCCCTTCAAAAGTGAGTCGCATAAATCTGCCAGCCCGAGCAGACAAAGAAACTCGATTTCTAGCAGCCCGCCACCCCCTGCCGTTTGCGCGATCCAATAATCCTTCCTCCAGCAATCCATCAACCCACCCTACTCTTCTAGAACTCACCTTGAAGCCACGCAGGTTGTCGACCACGCAGGCCAGAAGGGCGTCTCGGCCTACTGTCACCGTCACGTTCGCAATAGTCTCCGGAAATCGCGGGAAGGACGACTCTGTAAACACATATACACATCATTATTCATTCATTCATTGTATGATACATATAACGGGGCTAGATTACTAGCCACCAAAACCATGACAACCAGTCTCAGCAACATTTCATTAAAGCCAGACCCATAAATAAAGACGGACCCTCCGCAAAACATTCATATGCGATGAATTAATTAACCCTCGCAAAGAGAAGCGTAGATGCAAATCCGAAAGCATCGCTGATAACTATGCGGAAGAGAGAAAAACATCGTTTCTCACTCAACGTCACGTAATTGATTGATCTAATTTCATTTCCCCTAAATAATCTTAAGGAAGCCACTGTACAATTCCTTGCAGAATCGGGATAACAAGTATGTAATTGGATACCCGTAAAAGCTTAGTATTCCATCACGTATTTTGGTCGCCAATCCCATTTGATCGTATTTCCTAATTCCAAAAAGGTTTAAAGTTATTTACTGTTCCTATAAAAAAAACTGTATGTATTTCAACTAAACTAAGGACATTTAATATACAAATATTTATATATGAACCTACATTTGTATATCAATGTGATTCGTGGAATTATTTATATTATGCATTTATTTATCAATAATTTTAATATGTAAATTATTACTTATAAGCATACTAGTAGTAATAATGATATAAATGAGATGACTTATTCAAATTTTGAATTTCATATACTATTTAAATCAATTTTCTTCGTACACTAATTTTCAGTGACTATGTAACAAACAACAAAACAACCGAGTATTTATAATATACTAAGTGACTGTACATGTTTGGTCATAAAAATAATAGTTCAAAGGATGAGTTTATTCAACCCATCTTCCAATCTTCTTTGAAGAGATTCATGGTTTCATGGTAAAGAAAATCATATAGAAAGCAACAATTCATCAACTATTTTTTTGTTTAGCATCTATTTTATTTACAATCTATCATAAAAAGGACATAGTCACAATTGTCACATAGATGCTAGTGTTATTAAATTTAATTAAAGCTATGTGATATGTTACATTTTAAGTATGTATATTTGTTTTTGATTTACTTGTAAATTTAACGATTATTTTTTTGGGTGTGATTGTGTTACTAAAATTTGTAATCAAACTTTTAACCGTTTAAATTTACAAGTAGTTGTATATAACACTATGGGGAATATACTAGGTGACCGTACGCAATGTGTTCGAATGGAATCGCTATTTTGATATTATACTTGCTTGCAGAACACCACAACTGTATTAATGCGGGTTCAGGATGGATTTATATATAAATAATTTGTTATCTAGCGATAGCACTTATCTTCTAAGTTGCCAATATAGTTTGCTAAATTTTAGATCTAATTGTTAACTATATATGTTTCTTCCAAGTGAGTCTTCTATTACAACACACACTAAGATATTTTACATAATACTTCTGCGGTAACATTTTGTTGCTTAAAGTTACAAGTCACATGAGTCGATTTTATTTTGTTGGCTTTAATATGCCATTCTTTGGGCAGTATTCCATTTTATTTAATCCTCTTTAGAAGTTCTGCCATACAACTTTTTGTTTATTATCAGATGACATTAGTGCTAATGTAGCAGAGTTATTTTATATGTTACCAGGAGATCCTATGTAAAGATGAGATAGAGTATATATATATGTAAACGCTTCATTGCTGTATTACAGATCCAATTGAATATAAGTTGGAATTTTATTCTTGTATCTTTATTCGTATCAATCTATCCGTTAAATAAGATTTTATTCCAAATTAGTAAAGACTTTGAAATTATTTTTATTAATTTTATAGAGCAGTCCAAGATGCGACAATTTATATCAAAAGCCTGTGATATATTCAAACATTGAGTACATTGAGTAAAGTAATAAATTTGTTGTTGAGTTGAATGCACTTTGTGGAATCCAAACTGGTGTTCTGGGAATATGTTATTTTCCTGGAGTATTGAGTTCATACGTTTTAGTATTAGCTTTTCGAAAACTTTGGATATAATTAGTAGTAGTCTGTTGGTCTGTATGATGTCTATCGCTTTTCTGGCCTTGGAAATTATATGAATTATGAATTATATGACATACTTTCCATTGAGCAAGATACATCCCCAAGCGCAATATCGAGTTAAATATCCTCGTTATTAGTTTAACGCCTTTTGATGGGAAGCTTCAATTTAATGGTTATAAAATATAGAATCTAAATATTCTAAGTTTCTTCATAATCATTATAATGTATACTCCAGATTTATTTTCTACGTTTAATTTATTTTCAACTTTATAATTTGTTTTAAACAATTTTGTCAAATTTCCAGAAAACAAAATAAATTACTGCAAACTTATGCACTATTAAAAACCATTGATGATATCAGTAGCTATTTTTTTAAATCTAAATTTTATTAAAGAAATATTGTATTTATTTATTATTATTTTTATAAAATAATATATTAGTAGATTCGTCTCATACATATTTACATTATACATGTAATTCCTAATAAAGAATGTGCAATGCAATATATTTAATTTAAAACTTAGTAAATCCTAGTTCTTCAACTCTTATAAAGTAGTTGTAAACTTTCATCGGAATATCATATAATGTTGGTTTATGTAAGTTTCGGAAATATAACGTTTTCTATGGAAAGTACTATAAAGAAATGTCGAAATACTTATTATAACTTTGTGCTATAACATTAAATTAGATTGTAGTAATAAACAAAGATTAGAAGTATAATGTTCAAAGCAGTTTTCGAAGACAAAAAGTAAAAGAGATAAAAATATATTAAAAATATTTGATTTGTTTAAAATAATTATTTTGTCTTAATGAATTTATGAAGTATTATATAATTGGCAATACAAAACTATCAATTTAACTGAATTCCAATGCGCAATTGAGAATCGATAAGCAATTAATTGGTTATGGGGAATAGAGCAGAAGAGCTGCGAGCATCCATGAATGAAACAGCGTAGTTGCGGACGATAAAAGCCAACGATCATTTAAAAAGAATAAATAGAGGATGAACTAGTTAACTTTACGGATGTTAAATCTCGAAAGCCCTGTGCACCAAAACAATAATACAAAGAAAAAAAAATGTAGCACGGGCGTGAAGTTTAATAGTTAATTTAACTTCGCTGCAACATTAACAACAATACACGGGCCATATAAACTCAAGTTGCGCCTCTCAAGAGCTGAAACTGGTCGAAAAGTATAGCCCGACCTGTTTTGCATGGAAATAGGAACCACACACACACATACAAACAACTTCCGGACGTTGTAATACGTACGTTATAGTCGGTTCACTCCCCCGGATGTATTTATTTATTCTTTGTTTCGCGTGTTTTTTTTGTCTCTCTTTTTTTTACTTGTTTATTTTGTAATTTTTTTCTTTGCATCCTCTTCTCTCGACCTGCACGTTTTTTGCTCTACGTCGTTGTTGTTTCTGTTGTTTAAGCCTCCCTAATTTCACACCGAAGCGGTTACCTTAATCTCGTACGGTGAAGGAATTTTTATGCCGCAACTGCAACCGTAAATTTTTTAACGCGAGCCCGAATTAAAATCGCCCCCGCAAATTTTCAACGCACCCCTCGGTTTTCTGCTCACACCAGAACAAAGAGAACAAATTTGGGGTGGAATTTCAGTCATTTATTATGCAGACGTGTAACTGTTCACGCAGACCACGTGTATTCTGTATTATTATTTAAACTTCGAAGAAATTTAAGGTGCGTACACACTATACAATATTTATTATTAGGATAAGTAAGTTGTTATGATAATATGTATGTATCCATAGATAAGCAATTTAAAAAGTATTTTTATTTACACATTTTTATTAGCTCTAACATTCAACTAAAACGACTTAAAACTTTCTATCTTAAGACATTAACTAATAATATGTAGTTCCCTAATGTCTAAAGAGAATTTTATAACATATTAATTGCATTAAAAATTAATATACTAATATTATAATTGTTATTGAATCATTTGTAAAAAAATATTTTTTTTGCATTACTTTTTTGATGATGATGTTTTCACGAAGCTTTATCGGTTTTTAAACCAGATTTTGAAAAATCGTTTTTTAAGTAAATAATTTTCTTCGAAAACCAATTTTCAAGTGTATTACAATCAAATTTATTTAGGACTTATGAAGCTTAAATATACTGAGCAAGAAATATTCTTAATTTAGAAAAGTTTATTTCTGTTGCCTGAAGGGAAAAACCCTTCTCTTTTCTTTTGTACAATTTGAAAAGTCTGGATTTGTATAATCCATAACTTGTGATTTTATGGACTTAAGTCTTTAAGATTTTAACAAATTAATAACTTTGTTATTTTTATTAATTGATATATAATAATTTGTGAGTTAAGTTTATTTATTTTTATTTACACTAATGTACAAACTTAACTCACAAATTATTATATATCAATTATCAATTAGTATTTGTTACAAATATTGCATTGAAAGTTTCAAACGTAAATTATGATATCGACTGAATTTAACTTTTTTTAATTAGTTTACATTTGCTTTCTATCTAACCATTATAAATTGTACAATACATAATACATAGTATTGAATAAACAAATTAACACAATATTCTCCAAGCAAAAAAAAATAAAATTTCATAGTGATATGAAAGTATTACAACAATTACGTGTGCTTTATATAATATAATACTCTCGAATTGTGGTGTATATTTCCATAAAATAAATAATTGTATATTAGGGTTTGTCGAGTTCTAAAATCTGATTTTGAAAAAGGGTGTACATGCCACGATATTATTAATGTGGCTCTCCAAGAACCAATACTCTATTCCTCGTCATCAATTTTTGAATTGGGTTTTAGGACTCTATGGTTTTTGTTCAAGTCTCATGCAACTTTACCATGCTAGTTAATGAATAATGGGTGAATTTGGACCATTTCTTTCTGTTTCCTGAATAAAAAACCATTATAACATTCTTTTTATTGATAAAATTATTAAGAAAGTATGTTTTTCTACAAAATGATTTGATTTGTTGATAAAAAAGTTCATT